CTGTATATAAAAGAGTTGTGGTCTTAAGACCCTAAGACCAGAGAGGTGAATTCAGTTTACAATGTAAACGAAAGATACTTTGGTGTTTTATAAGAAAAACTAGTAGGGAGTATATTCCTCGTAAACCCCAAGTTAATATAATCCTACTCTATGTAAGTCGTTACAACCATACTAATATGACTAATTCTCCTGTCTTGACGATCTTCAGACGTCAGTTTCTAATAACATATTTGTCACCCTAGGCTGGCCCTGTCTAGCTGTAGCAAAGAGCTCAGGTGTGTGGTGTCAACCCCGTATAGATCTATACAAAAATTCCCGCTCTACCTCCAGGAGCCTCTGGTTATAACTACAATACTTCCGGTGTATGCTAGGTAGGTACGATGAAGGAAAATCTCACAAGAGCCTTAACAGATTCACGAGAACTATAACTCCTTTTACTTGAAAACACGATAGTTATACCGTTAAGTAATTTTACATATCTACGAAAAGTGTGATTTGTGACTTCCAAACTATACCAATTATAATTTATCTTGTAGGTTTGAAACTATTGATGCAATCGTCTATAAAAATATAAAGATGTATTTCAACATGAAAATATGATATAAAAAATAGTATTTAGGTATTAAAACCCACTAGATGACTATGTTGAACCAAAGTTTGCTAGTAAAGTTATCTTTTTAATAAAGGTTCCCAAAAGCCTTGTAGTTTGCAGATCTTAACTTTTCTTATGATTTTAGAACATTGATCATATTAATTTTGCTAATACATATATATACATATATATATATATATATATATATATATATATATATATATATATATATATATATATATGTATCACAAATATTTATACCAAACTAGAGTATGCTTTAATTTGTACAAATAATAATTTAACCTTAGCTTAAAGATGACAAACTTGTAGTTATTTGTGGGATAAACATAGTTTGACTTGTATTCCCCCCTAAAACATAGAAGAAGATTGAAAATATGGGGGTATGAACTCACCTTGGTTTGGATTTGTGGGTTGATTTGAAGAGATGTTGAGCAGTTTCCAAGCCTAAACACTTGGATAGAGTTGATGATCTTCCTTGAGAGTAATGATATCGTAAGGGTTTTTAATACATAATGGTATGTGTAAATGGAAGGAAATTAACATGATAAGGTGTAGGACCACAATACAAATTCGAAGTACTTACTAGGATTTAGGAAATATCTTGAAGAATTTAGTATCCTAAGAGCTTGACGCTTGACTCTCAGAGAGCAAATTTTGGATTTCTCAGTAATGGGATATGAGAGGTGTCATATGGAAGGAGGGGTTTTTGTTTCTTAATAAAAGGGTAAAAGTGGACGTGATGCTTCCTTGGGTTGCTAGAGATTTTGCTTAGTTATTTGATGGTTAATATGAGTTTAACCATGTTTGCCATGGAAAGGGATGAAATGTCACACCTTAAAGTCAAATATAATTGTCTTTTTCCTTCCTTAATTCGTAAACCCCTTAAGATATGATGTTGTTTTCGAATTATGGGTGCTCCACCAAAGGTGTTTACACCCTAGGATGGTTTTCACTTGAGTTTTCGCCCACTAGGTGGTCCACCAAGGGTGTTTAAGCCCTAAAGTGAGTTTCCTTAAGTGTTTACGCCCTAGCATGGATTCCTTAAAGTGTTTACGCCCTATCCATGGCCCATTATGGTGGTTTTCGTCCTAGGTGGAGTTCTAGGCCCAAATTCATTAGGTAACTGCTTATGGTGTGCTATATTGTTGACTTTGACAAAAGTGCATTCAATTATGGTTCCAAAAAGCTTATTACATATATTTATATCCATAAATGTTAGCTTAAGTCCTTGTTCCTATGGCCTTCCATGTTCTAAGGTGGGTGGGAGACTAGGCTAAATACTAATAGACAATCTTTTAACCCAAGATTCTTATTCAAATTCATTTGTCTAGTTTGCGTTGATAAACTAGTTAATTTTCAAGAGGTTACCTTATATGTGATTTCTAAGGTGTATACTTCCATGTACAAGCACCTATGCCCTTTTAGTTCTCAAGGCTTTCATTATAATAGGGTTACACTTTAGACCTTGCTTGATCCAAATATTTCGGATTGTCATAGGAATCATATCGGATCCTCTAAGTCCTAGTCATAAAATACTCCTGAAGCCTGCTCAATAGCAAAACAACTACACTAAATGCAATAAAATCAGACATATCCTTGTGCGAAATCCTCGATCTCAGACATCTAGCACCTTGCGTGCATCTTCGCCCTGCCCATACTCTCCCCAGTATGGCTAATTAATTCTCACGCTGACCCGCTATACACTGCACCCGCTCATAAGACTTCCACAAACCCTACAGCACTCGTATACGATAGTAATACATAACACTGGATCCTATAGACAGTCAAATACCCAGTCCTACTCTAAGCGCACAACCAGACAAGGAACAGGAAATAAAACCAAACCAAATATTCTCAGGCCATAGAATCTTAGTTATGTACAAATATGATGCATACACTAACCAACTATAGTAATGATGTTAATTTCATATAAGGAAAACCCTAGGCTATCAGGCATCATATAATCAGACAATTCTACCATGCAATTCCTGAAGATCCCTAGCCTAGTACTAGCATACTATTCTAACATATCAAATAATTGTACGGTGTTTTGGGGTCTGCTTACTGGCTCCGGCTGATCGTACACTTCGCATCCTCCTTTAGTATTTTGAAAACCATTTGAAATCATTTTGAAAATCTTTGAAAATCCTTTTCCCTTAGTTTGAGATCGGATTCACATGAATGTTCCTCCAATTCCCTCAAACCAAGGCTCTGATACCAACTTGTAACATCCATAAAATTCACAAAAAAAAATATTTTAAACTTTTTAAGATATTCAAAAACCATTGTTTATTACAGTTATGTTTTCAAAATAGTTTCATATCATAGTATCCCAGAAATCTAGGTGAAATATGAGGAAGTGTACGTCACGCCTTTGCCTTTCCGTGATCATCAGAAGAACCTGAAACAATAATCGATAAATGTAAGACTGAAGGCTTAGTGAGTTACCCCCAAAATACCAACACCATACAAACCAAAACAATATCATATCAAACAGTATGCATAATGAGCATTCAGCCTGACTAGACCGCCTCGCAGGACCTACAGTCTATCTCGACCGCTCCGGAGCCAACGGCATGTCTGGACCGCATCGCAGGGCCTACAGCCTATCTGGACTGCTCGTCGGGCTTTCAGCCTGACTGGACCGCCTCGCAGGGCCTTCAGTCTATCTGGACCGCCCCTGGCCTGTTGGCCTTTAGCACACAGCAGGACCGCCTCAACCCAAACACACATATATGTCGACATACTCATAACACATAAACAATCAATAAATCGGCACAGATCATATAGATCACTAAGCATAGCATCATCCTATCTACCAGGATACCGATCTAACAGATCATAATATCATAACAATATCCTATCTACCAGGATACCGATCTAACAAATCATAACAACATACAAGCACACTATAACCAGGATAACAATCCAAAGGGCCGACCTTGGTGCCTTAGACCCTGTTGATATAGTGAGGAGAACTCACCTCATACTGCTGAAGTCCCGCGGGGAAAACCCTAGTTGTTGGATGACAGATTCCCGAACTGTTAACATCAAACAACACCTAATTGGGTTCCAATACATAACCATAAGTTCATGCTTGGGGTAAAAGACTAATTTACCCCCAACTTATCTTGATTCAAGCCCAAGGGCCAAACTCACACTCCAAAGGCCCAAAAGTCACCCAATGGACCAAAGCCCAACATATGGCCCAATTTTCCAAATTAGGCCCAAACCTCTTCATGGTCTCATCTTAAGGCCCAACAATTTATTCTAGTCCAAAACTTGGCATTCCGATGGTCCAATATCTTAAAATCATTAAGGCCCACTTATGACCCATTTATGGCCCAATTTTCCAAATTGGGCCCAAGCCCATCCAACTATTTTAGTCAAAATACTTGTTCTTGGATGGCTCATCAATAGCCCAATCACCAAATCCCAAAAGAAAGGCCCAACTCAAGGCCCAAGCAAAATTAGGGTTTTCACATACAATGACGATTAGGATTATGTGTTTCTTACTTAACCCATTAAGGACTTAATCCATTAAGTCCATCACTTTACTAGATAAATCATACGGTGTGATCGTGTGTAATCCAATTCCAATGGCCCAAAACATGGGTCCCGATAAGTCCAAATTAAAATATCCAAGATTAGGGTTTTCTAAACCCTAATAAGGGTTTCTAACCCAAAACACACAAATTAGACCATTTATTAAGCTTTTACGTTAATTAATTGTTAATTAAGTTGGACACGACCCACTACCACCTCGGGTAGTGGTGGTTAATGGTGGCCACGGCGGCGACCACCACCTTGTGGTGGTGGTAATGAATTTAGGCTAATTATGTCCAAGCATCTAAATTAACAATCCAAACACACAATGCACACCGCCACCCAACACTATCGCTGGTGCCAGCAGAGGGCGGCAGCCACCACCTCACGGTGGTAGTGATGGCTTTTTCCTTGAGTATTCCGTCCACAATACAATGATACAACATACATACAACAATATCCAACATAAATACGCATAATAAATTATACACACACATAGCCGCCCTTATGGCGCTAGGCGGTGGTCGGAGGTGCTAGCCACCACCTCACGGTGGTTGTGGTGGCTCTCTTGTGATTTCTGGCCAATTAACGACACATATATTCTTTCTGTTTGCGAAATAAACCCAACCACCCACCTGGTGGCGTACGACGGCGACAGTGACACAAGAAGGCGGCTAACGGCGGTGTTGACGGCGGCAACCACCATGGTTGGCTACCATGGCAGTTCTTCACAACTTGTGCTCATCAGAAAAGACGCACAAGCCTTCGTTCGATCCTGTTACAGCAACACACATGCACCCGCTTCGCGATTCGACGAACCTAACCACCATTCCACGGTGGCATGCGGCAGACAGAGGTTGCCAGCGGTGTTGAGCAGCCTCCAGACGGAAGCGGCGATGCAGCCATCAGGAGAGAAATGAAGAGAGGAGAAGGTGGTTCGAACCCACTGAGTACAGTAGCAGCAGCAACAGCGGAGAGGCACTTGCTATGGTCCCCGTCGACAGCTCCGTCTTCAACAGCAACGACACAACGGCGGCTGGAGGTGAGAACCCGACAGCACCCGAAAATCGCCCGCTATCCCCCGTTGACCTTCAGTATCTCTGGTCATGGTAGATGTCATCGGTGGTCTTGGTTGATCGGAACAACAAGGGAGTCGGGTGGTGGCGGCTGGACAATGGAGGAAGGAGGTGGCGGCTGGTGTTTAGAAGTAGGGTTAGGGTTAGGGTTGAGAGGGTGACGAGTTTCCGGTTATATTCCCAACTCACATAAAAATCATCCCATAATGACGCAAAATGGTCCCTCATTCTCTTCCTTTCTTTCAACTTAAGTCCAAATGTTACCAAATGGCCCCTCCTCTAAAAAACCTTCTCAACTTAGGTCCAGAATTTACCTTTCAGCCCCTGCCCCCAAGAGTCTTTTCAATATAAGTCCAATACTTACCTAACACCCCCTGACTTCTAAAAATCTTTACAAATTAAATCCCGCAATTACACTTTAACCCCCCGAAGATTCAAATCTTATCATTTGGCTCCGCGAAATCAACACTCTGCTAATTATTATTGATTTTGGCTACAATAATATAAAATAATAATAATAATTACTTCCCGGGGTTCCAGGTTTATTATTTAATTACTCTATTTTAAACGGAATGTTACAGTATTCCAGTCATAGGCTGTGGGCCTCGTGAACATGATTACTCCTTTCTTCTGTTTGTGGTACTGTCGGTATTGGCGCGTTGATAGAAATCGGGAGACTCACAAATCAACTTTAGATAAAGAGGACATATAAGGGTTGTTAGAGTATCATTCATGCATCTAAAAGTCACTGCGGAAGGTTAGCGTTGTGAATCTCGTTGGTTGCAAGCTGTTATTAGGGTTCCGATTATCAAGATTGGGTATCAGTTATGAAGTGTCAAATCATATAATTCTTGGTGAATGTCCCGAGTGATTTGCCAGGTGATGGTACACTTGAGTTGATAAGGATTGGAGGAAAATGTGAAAAATTCTTGGATTTCTCATCTTTGCTCATAGGAGCAGTGGTTAGAAATGGCTGGTCAGGAAGTCAAGGGTTATTAAAGGCTTTTGGTTCAAATTATGGATTTCGAATTGGTGGACAATTCGCAATCGATATGTTTTGAGGATCTTTTCTGCATGTTTTGGTGGTGTCTCCAATTAGGGGCTGGGGGTAGATTCATGGATTAATGTCCTTCAGCCTTAAGGAAGAATTTACGAGAAATTTTATGAGTGGCCATTTTCGAGTTGACTTTTGGTGGAACTTGCATTGGGAATCATGTGTGTATTCATACCAGGCTTGTATTTTAGTGAGATATGGGATAAAGAACCTGTATGCCTAGGGCATCAGCTGGAGGGTTCAGGGTAAAAAGGGGTGTTTTGAGTGAGGATGAAAAAAAGGCTTATGTGGTTGTGCTTTGGAATGGTTCTATCGGTGTGAAGGTCGGGCAAGTTATGGGGCTTTAGAATTATAGCAGCAATGTATCAACCCGACAGTTAAGGAAATCAATATCTTGTTGTCCATTGTGTTCATGAAATTGTTATCATCAAGATGAGCCATCTATCGAAGGAATATATAATCCCTTTTTGGTCGAGCGAAAGGTTGTCGGTAGTAGTTAAAGGTCTGCAATTCTGTTCTCTAGTAGGAACCTCAGGCAATGAGAAGTCAAGTAGATAATTTGATGGATAATTGAAGTGGAATTGGCATTGGTTATGTATGGGCAGTCTGTCGTGGAGATTGACCAATTCAAGATTTCAGATTTCAGGTAAGTATGGTAGGTTTTATGCATGGGATTATGTATTCTTCTTCTTCGAGTTGGAAAGTTCGGCTTGAACTAGGTTAGGTTTCCTCAAGAAGTTCGTTGTATGTTCAAGGTTCTGGTTGTGTCCCTCAAGTTGTCAGGCATGTCGGGGATGGTAAGGAATGATTTCGAGGACAAAATCGAATCTAAGTGGGGGAAAGTTGTAACACTCGGTTTTGAATCGTTTCATTATTCGAGGCTATGGCTCGATCATCAGTTATCATAAGCCTTAGGGCCATGGGGAAGAGAGATTTGGCCCTTTTTGGATAAGGGTGTTAAAGTCTATGTGATTCGAGTGTTCGATGTTGTTTCGGATCCCAAGGCATATTTGTAATTTGATAACCCAGTCCTTTATGAATTTTTGGGTTTGGTGTGGGAAGTTTTAAGGCTAAGGTGAGTTGTTAGAAGGGTAGGACTTCTTGTCACCTTTTCGTGGATATAAAGTTCATCGGAAATGGGCTAAGATCGAAGGAGTTAGTACCAAATGAAGTTTCAGGGTTTTAAAGGGTTCAACGAGTATGTGGGGTGTACTCGTCGAGTGGGTCGCAGGTGGTTACTTGATTATGCCAAGCATACTAAGGGGTATGTGGGTGTACTTCCTTCAACATCAAACCCTCATATTTAGGGTTTTACCCTTATTTAAGCAACTTTTCTTCTTGAACATTGGCCCTTATCAGCCTCCAAGCCTCCTAAATCCTAATATTCGAGCCTTAGCCATCATCTTGGAGTTCTCAAGCTTTTGTGTGTGTTTTTGGAGTATTCTTGAGCATTTGAAGAGGTTGGAGCTTGTTGAAGAATCATCCTTTGGAGTGGGGCATATGGATCTAGAAGTTTCTCATCTTTTACAACCTATTGAAGGTAAAAAGCTTTCATCTTGGCATCTCATTGGTTAGCTAGATCTTGTTAGGGCTTATTTTTAGTCCTTTTGATTTGTATTTATGAGTTTGAGCTTGCCCCAAGAGTTTGGTCACTATATCTGGATGTTTTAGGTGTCCCTAATGCATAAAAATGTGATCTTTATGGTTTATTTGGACTCATGCATATGTTAAGACCCTTCATTAAGCTCTTTTGAGCTCTAGAGCCCCATTAAACTATCTATGCAAGTAAAGTTGCCAACTTTACATGATAAGTCGTCCTTAGGAATCAAATATGAGAGTTTGGAGCAAGGACTTAAGTAGTTAAGTGCTTAATGGAGAATAATAGAGTTTAGGGAGTACATTGGGCGTACACATCTGGTACACTGCACGTACCGGCCCCAAAGGGTGTACGCTGCGCGTACCAGCTGAGTATGTGGGGCGTACTCGGCTTGTTTGACTTTTCATGTTTTGCTGACTTGATGGATTTGGACCTTTGACCTGAAGTTTGACCAGGGTTAACCATTGGTTATTTTAATCCTTTTAGGATATTAGGACTTCTCAGGTTAAGCCCATGATGGGATTGGGCCCAATTTGGATAATTGGGCCTTATGGTATCATTTTGGGTTTGGGCCATCTTTTGGGCTTGGTTGCTTGGGACATTGTTGGACCAACTGAGAAAAGTTTTTGGGCTAGGAAGAGTTTTTGGGCTTTAGGGTAAGACCCATGTAAGGGTTTAGGCCCAATTTGGAAAATTTGGCAATATGTGGGCTTTGGATAATTATTTGGTTTATGGGCCTTTCTGATTAGAAGTTTGGCCCCTAGCCTTAGAACAACCTAGGTGAGGGGTAAAATGGTCTTTTTACCCCATGAATGGATTATTGGTTTTGAATTGGAACCCAAATGTTAATTGAATGTTATTCATGTATGTTAATGCGGGGTTTCTAGCAGATTTGCAGTCACAGATTTATTCGTGGGTCCAGCTATCGAGTTTTCCTCCTTGTACTTACGGGTCGACGACACCAAGACCGTCTCATTTGTTTGATAACTGGATATTTCTTGATATGCTGAGTATGGAATAGTTATCCATGCTAGTTTTGACATGCTAGTCTGGTAGATCTATAGGATTACCTGTGATATTATCTGATTATTTGCATATGTTATTACCTATTATATGTCAACATATTGTGTTGGGTTGAGGTTGTATTGCTTTGTTATGTAGTTAATAAACCCTAGATCATTCCATATATGAGCTGAGGCCGGGTAGGGCATGCTAGACTCATACTGAGGGCTCAGGTGCATTCCAGATACAAGTTGAGGACCCGATGGTATCCCACACTCGTACTGAGGACTTGAGGGTATTGGAGCATTCCAGATATGAGCTGAGGGCCAGGTAGGGCATGCCAGACCCATATTGAGGCTTAGTAGCATGCAAGATACGAGTTGAGGACCGGTTGGTAGGCCATACTCGTACTGAGGGATGAACATTTATACGCCAGTCCGATGACTGATTGGGATAGAGAGCAAGCAAGACATAAAATGATACCTGATGTCACTATAATTTCTCCATTTTCAACACACTCCCTGATAAAATGATACCTGATGTCAATATGTTTGCTCCGACCATGAAATACAGGGTTTTTCATCAGATTAAGAGCTGATTGGTTGTCTACAAACAGTGTCACATGTGGTACTCTTTAACCTGTGATTTCTGCAAGAAGTCTCCTTAGCCATATGCCCTGACAAGCTGCCATAGTGGCAACAATAAACTCAGCTTCACAAGATGAAAGTGCCACTACCCTTTGCTTTTGAGATGCCCATGTGACCAAGTTTCCATTTACATAAAACGCCATTCCCCCTGTGCTTCTTCTGTCATTTACATCTTTGGCCAAATCACTATCAGTATAGCCTGAAATATTGACCTTTTCTCCTCCTTTAGAATAGACTAAACCATGGCTTAAGGTTCCTTTTACATATCTAAGGATTCCTTTTACAGCTTGGAGGTGTTTTATGGTGGGATTCTCCATAAATCGACTAACTACACCAACAGCAAAGGTTATATCAGGTCTAGTGTGAGTGAGATACCTTAGGCAGCCAATAATGCTTCTGTACTCAGTTAGATTTACCAGCTCCTCATCTCCATCCTTGGTCAAACAGAGTTTATGCTCTATTGGACTTTTGGTGGGATTGCAGTCTAACATGCGAGTTTTGACCAGAATGTTCTTGGCATAACCTTCCTGCTTTAATGTGATTCCTTTGTCTTGTTGGTTTACTTCAATTCCCAGGTAGTATGACAGTAAACCAAGATCACTCATTTCAAATCTGGCATTCATCTCATTCTTGAACTCCTTTATGTTTTCTGGATTGCTACTTGTCACAAGTAGATCATCTACATACACTCCAACAATCAGACTGCTTCCACTCTTTGTTCTTATATACACAGAGTACTCCTGGGCACATCTTTTGAAACCCAAATTCTTCATATATTTGTCTAGACATGAATTCCAAGCTCTGGGAGCTTGTTTTAAGCCATACAGGGCTTTAGTGAGTTTATACACTTTTCCAGGTTCA